GTTCTTCTTTTGTTTTTTGTTTTGGTTTTTGGGGGTCTTTTTGAGATGGAGTTTTGCTCTGTTACCCAGGCTGGAGTGCACTGGCGTAATCTTGGCTCACTGCAACCTCTGCCTCCTGGGTTCAAGCAATTATCATACCTCAGCCTCGCAAGTAGCTGGGACTACAGGCATGTGCCACCGAGCTGAGCTAATGTTCACATTTTTTATTAGTAGAGGCAGGGTTTCACCAGGCTGACTAGGCTGGTCTTGAACTCCTGACCTCCTGAATCACCTTACACTTTTAAATTATGGAGATGGCTTCTTTCCTCATACCTCTTAAACCAACCTCTGCTGGCTTCCAACTTTTCTTCAGCAGCTACCTCACCTTTCTCAGCATTCATAGGATTGAAGAGATTTGGGGCCTGTTTTGCCTTCATGTGTTCACTTTTAGTTCCCTTCAAGAACTTTTCCTTTGCACTCACAACTTGGCTGTTTGGCACAAGAGGCCCAGCTTTTGGCCTGGCTTGGCTTTGACATGCTGTCCTCACTGTGCTCCATCTTTTCTAGCTTTTGATTTAAAGTGAGAAGTGGGAGACTCTTTCTTTCCCTTGAACACTTCAGGGCCATTGTAGGGTTATTAACTGGCTCAATTTCAATATTGTCATGTCTTGGGGAATAGGAGGTCTGAGGAGAAGGGAAGAGCTGGGGGTATGACTAGTTGGTGCAGCTGTCAGAACATGTGCAACATTTGTTGATTAAGTTCATCATCTTATATAGGTGAGACTCATGGCTCCCCAGAACAATAGTGACATCAAAAATCACATGGCCGGGCACGGTGGCTCACACCTGTAATCCCAACACTTTGGGAGGCCAAGGCAGGTGGATCACCTGAGTTTGAGACCAGCCTGACCAACATGGTGAAACCCCATCTCTACTAAAAATACAAAATTAGCCAGGTTCGGTGGCACATGCTGTAATCCCATCTACTCCGGAGGCTGAGGCAGGAGAATGGCTTGAACCCAGGAGGCGGAGGTTGCTGTGAGCCGAGATCATGCCATTGCACTCCAGCCTGGGCAACAAGAGTGAAACTCCATATAAAAAAAATCACTAAGCACAGAGCACTATAACACATACAATAGTAATGAAAAAGTTTGAAATACTGTGAGAATTACCAAAACATGACATAGAGATACACTTTTATGGTTGCTTTTGGCCTTCTCATCTGACAGAGCAAGGAAATATGCATATACACATACACATATACATATACACATATACATATATGTATGTGTGTGCTAACCATGTACAGATGAATCTATAAATATTTCTATATGTAACCATCCTTATTTGTATTAAGCTAAACATGGGACTGGGCATGGTGGCTTACACCTACAACCCCAGCACTTCGAGAGGCCAAGGCAGGAGGATCGTTTGAGACCAGCCTGCACAACAGGGTGAAACTCCATCTCTACTAAACATACAAAAAAATTAGCTGGGTGTGGTGGCACGTGCCTATAGTTTCACCTACCTGGGAAGCTAAAGTGGGAGGGCCACCTGATCCCATGAAGTCAAGGCTGTAGTGAACTGAGATCACACCACTGTACTCCAGCTTGAGTGACAGAGTGAGATCCTGTCTCAAAAATAAATAAATAAATAAATAAATAAATAAATAAATAAGCCAATTTAACATGAGTTTATACTGATGTCTCCAGTTCTAATCCATAGATCATTCTATTATTCTTGCCTTCTCTCCTTACTTTCCTGTGACCTCATTTGTTTTCCTGTAACCTCCTGTAACCTCCTACATAGAGAGAAATCTGGCTCCTCCCATCAACCATCCATTTACTGAATTGTTTTGGGGTTTTTTTGTTGTTGTTGTTTGTTTGTTTGCTTTTGAGATGGAGTCTCACTCTGTCACCCAGGATGGAGTGCAGTGGCGTAATCTCAGTTTACTGCAACCTCTGCCTCCCAAGTTCAAGTGATTCTCCTGCCTCAGCCTCCCGAGTAACTGGGACTACAGATGCCCGCCACCATACCTGGCTAATTTTTGTATTTTCAGTAGAGATCGGGTTTCTCCATGTTGGCCAGGCTGATCTCAAGTGACTCCTGGCCTCAAGTGATTTACCTGCCTCGGCCTCCCAAAGTGCTAGAGTGACAGACATGACCACCATCCCCAGCCGACTTAATTGTGTAATTTCATTACACACATACAGCAGTAACAGAATTGTTAACCTGTACCTCTGTGGGAAATAACTTTATCAACTAGAGTACAGTGCTTATGGAAAATTTCTTTAGACTTTAGTCTTACAGACTACATATTTCCAAAGTGACCTGGGTCAGCACCTTTACCCTCACCTCTTTTAGTGAGGTTGTTTCATACATTTGTGATAGATTGTGTTGTCACATTCTGCATTCTCTTCTGAGATCCCCCAACCTTCTAAATGATTTTTAAAATTTGCATGCATTATGATTTGCTCTTTGTGCTGTAAAGTTCTAGGGTTTTTGATAAATGTATAACATCATATTTACATCATTACAGTATTATATAGAATAGTTTTCACCATCCTAAAAAAAAAAATCCATGTGCTTCATCTGCTTCATCTATTCAATCCTTCCTCCCTACCCCACAAACTCCTTTTAACCACTCATCTTTTTACCATCACTAGAGTTTTGCCTTTATAGAACCATGTAATTGGAATTATACAATTGGTAGCCTTTTCAGGCTGGCTTCTTTCACTTAGAAATAGGCATCCAAGATTCATCCATATCTTTTTTTTTTTTTTTTTTTTTGAGATGGCATCTTGCTCTGTCCCCCAGGCTGGAATGCAGTGGCACAATCTCAGCTCACTGCAACCTCCACCCCCCGGGTTCAAGCAATTCTCCTGCCTCAGCTTCCCGAGTAGCTGGGATTACAGGTGCCTCACCATGCCCTGCTAATGTTGGCCAGGCTGGTCTCGAACTCATGACCTCGTGATCCGCCTGCCTTGGCTTCCTAAAGTGCTGGGATTACAGGTGTGAGTCACCGTGCCCAGCCATCCATATATTTTATCACTGAATAATATTCCACTGGATAGATGTTCACAGTTTGTTTATCCATTTACCTGTTGACCATCTTGGTTGCTTCCAGGGTTTGGCAATTATAAATCAAGCTGCTGAAAACAGTTGCATGCAGGTGTTTGTGTAGACATAGTTTTCAAATCAGTTGGGTAAATGCTTAGGAGTGGGATGGTTGGATCGCCGATTTAGCTTTATGTGAAACTTCCAAACTGCCTTCCAGTGTGGCTGTAGCATTTTGTGTTCCCACTAACAATGAATGAGAGTCCCTATTGCCTCATATCCTTGTCAGCAATTGATATTGTTAGTATTTTAAATTGTTGCTATTCTGATAGGTGTGTAGTGATATCACATTTTTTGTTTTTGCTTTTGTTTTAATTTTCAATTCCCTGATGAAATATGATGTGGAACATCAAATGTTTATTTGCCATCTTTATATCTTCTTCGAGGAGATGTCTGTTCAGATTTTTTGCTGATTTTTTAAATGGGTTTGTATGTTTTTATATTGTTGAGTTTTAAGAGTTATTTGTATATTTTGGATACAAGTCCTTTTTCAGAAATGTGTTTTGCAAAATTTTTTGCTGTCTGTGGCTTCTCTTCATTTTCTTAACAGTGTCTTTTGAAAAGATTTTTATTTTGATAAATCCAATTTATCAACTTGTTGTTCTTTTATGAATCCCTGGTTTTGGTGTCATATTTAAGAAACTTTTGCCTAGCCCAAGGTCAAATATATTTCCTCTTAGGTTTTCTTCTGGAAGTTTTATAATTTTAAATTTTACATTTGACCTATGACAAATTTTGAGTTAATTTTGGTATGTGGTGAGATACATGGATCAGGTTTTGTTTGGTTTTGTTTTGTTTTTTTGAGATACAGTCTCACCCTGTCACCAGGCTGCAGTGCAGTGGCATGATCTTGACTCACTGCAACCTCTGCCTCCTGAGTTCAAGCGATTCTCCCTGCCTCAGCCTCCCAAGGACCGGGGAGTACAGGCATGTGCCACCATGCCCGGCTAATTTTTTTTTTTTTTTTTTTTGAGATAGAGTTTCACTCTTGTTGCCCAGGTTGGAGTGCAATGGCACGATCTTGGCTCACTGCAACCTCCGCCTCCTGGGTTCAAGCTATTCTCCTGCCTCAGCCTACCGAGTAGCTGGGATTACAGGCATGTGCCACCATGCCTGACTAATTTTTATATTTTTAGTAGAGATGGGGTTTCACCACGTTGGCCAGGCTAGTCTGAAACTCCTGACCTCAGGTGATCTGCCCGCCTCGGCCTCCCAAAGTGCTGGGATTACAGGCGTAACTCATCGCACCTGGTGGGATCAGGTTTTTCATATGTGGATATCCAATTGTTCCGGCACTATTTGTTGAAAAGACTATCCTTTCTCCACTGAATTGCCTTTGCACCTTTGTAAAAAATTAGTTGCCTATGTACATGTGGGTCTATTTCTGGATTCTCTACTCTGTTCCATTGATCTGTTTATCTGTCTTTACCTCACACACATGCACTGATTAGTACTCTGCCTGATACTCAAGGCAGCCCTTTCTGCAGATCTGGGATTTGCCCTCTGAGCAGATGTCTCCTCTCCAGCACCCTGTCCTGCTGACTCTAGTCCCCTTGGTCTCTCCCTGGACTCTCAACTCCATCTCTTCCTTCCTGAAAGTCCCCCAGGCTCTGCCTCAGTTCTTTCTCCCTGTGCCACAGCCTGATAGCTCTCTAGGCAGTAAGCTGGGGGAAATTTTAGGGCTCAGCTCACTTGTTTTCTGTCTCTCGAGAATTTCTGTCCTTCATTGCCTGATGTCCGGTACCTAGAAACCGACGTTCCATATATCCTCTCCAGCTGCCTGAAAGTTTTGAAGGGGAAGGAAATACAGTCCCTGCTACTCCATCCTGGGCAAAGGCCTACAACTACAGAATTTAAAACTCTCTGTGTTAGTCTGTTCTCATGCTACCATAAAGAACTACCTGAGGCTGGGTAATTATGAAGAAAACAGGTTTAATTGACTCACAGTTCCACAGGCTACACAGGAAGCATGGCTGGGAGAGGCCTCAGGAAACATAACCATGGTGGTAGGTGAGGGGAAGCAACCACATCTTCACATGGCAGCGGGAGAGAGAGAGCAAAGGGGGAGGTGCTACACACTTTTAAGCAACCAGATCTCATGAGAACTCACTCACTATCACGAGAACACCAAGGGGGGAAATCTGCCCCCACGATCCAATCACCTCCCACCAGGTCCCTCTCTCAACATTGGGAATTACAATTTGACATCAGATTTGGGTGGGGACACAGAGCCAAATCATATCCTTCGGTTCCAGCCTTACATTCTGAAGTGAATTAAGACTTCTGGCTGGTCTCCCTGCTCCATGCAGGCCTCACTTAAAGTTTGGACTGCCAGGATGCAGGAGGGCAGGAGCATGCCAGACAGAGCAAAGGGCCCGTGCAGGGCCTGGAGGTGAGGAACTGTAGCGCAGGTTGTGTTTGGGGACATGGGAGTAGGAAATAAAAAAGAAGAAAGTGAACTCAGGGGAGAGTGAGTCCCATAGCTGGAGGGGAGAAGAGGAAATGACAGAGGGGTGGGACTGGGTGAGGAGCTGAGAAGAGGCCAAGGGAGCCCCGGGAGTCACCCCAGGGCACAGGCTGGTGCAGGGAAATGCCAGGGCTGAACCCAGCTCTGCCTGACCCCAGAGCTCAAACTCTGAACCACTTACAACCCTGCCCATTCTGATAACCTGGCCAGAAAGGTAAAGCAGGCAAAGAGGAGTTCACACGGGACCCAGACCGAGGGGCCCTGCCCGAGGCTCACAGCCCCAGGTGGAACAGAAAAGGAGGACGGAATTGGGTTTTCCTGGCCCCAGAAGCGTCGCTTCCCTCCAGGAGGCTGATCGAGGCCCCTGCAGTGTGAAGGGCTCAGCCTTGGCAGTCTCGCAGGAGCCCAGAGTTCCCACCCAGTCCCCACATGGTCCCAAGGGCTAGGGTGAAGGCAGTTCGTAGTGGACACTTTGCTGTGCCCTTGAAGATCCTGGGGGTGGAGAGAGGTGGGGCCCTACAGTGTGAAGCTGGGAGCTTGCTGGATGTGCAGATGCCTGGGCCCCTCCTGGAGATTTGGACTCACTGGGTATGGGCTGGGGCTGGGCCTTGGAGCTCCCAGACGAATCTGTTGCAACAGGTGACCTGGGGCTCCTCTTTGAGAGGCTTCGTTTCATGCAATAGGCATCTTTCCCCCAAAGAGCTGCTGGGAAGATGGATGGCCAATAGTCTCAATGCTCTGAGAATCCCAATCAGGGTCCCAGTGGGAGTCCAGGGCCTGGGGAGAGAACAACAAGCAGGTGGGGGAAGGGAGGCAGACGCAAGCTTGGTGAAGGGGGGATCTGTCGGCACCCCTTTAAAGTCCCCTGTGCTCTGGGCTCCTTCCCATCCCAGATCTTATCTCTGGGTGCCTGTCCCTGGATGGAGCTTCCCCAGGGCATCCCAGGACCCCCCGGGGAAGGAGGAGGGGGCAGATCAAAGGGCGGGCGCCCAGACAAGGGAACCTGAGATGCTGTCTTTGTCTGCATCCTGGAGAGGCCCCGGGGGAGACAGGATGGATGGGAGCCCTGGGCCAGAGGCTAGTGGGGTGGGGGGGTCAGTGGAGAAACCAAATCCTGGTGTATTCACTATGGACAAAAGGGAGGGGTTGGAGAGGGGGTCAGGCTCCTCTCACCAGCTGCTCTGGCTAGAGGCTTCCGGCAAGGTCTTGGTACATCTGGGTCAGGTTCTCTTCAGGGTCAGGAACGATCCAAAGGAGGTGGCGGTTTGGGGACCCAGATCCACTCATCAAGAACCCCTTTTAACTGATTCCAAGTTATTCACACCCAGGAGGGGGCCTAGGAGCAGAACTGGGGGTGAGGGTAGAGTAGAAAAATAGCCCACTCCCCAGATTCCCCATTCCCAGACACCCCCACCCCTCCGGGAAAGCAGAACAGCCACTTGGGTGTAACACCATCCCTAGGCTTGGGCTGCCTCACATCTGGAGCCCCAGCTGCTGCCGCCATGGAGGCTGTGAACTCTTCACCGCGGCCTGCCTGGTCACAACAACAGCAGAAGAGCCGAGGGCGGCAGCTGTCTGCTCGGGGCTGTCTGGCCACGGGCAGACGCCGGGGCTCTGGAGAGAGGTGGCGACAGTGGGAATCCGTGTTTCACCTGCCTCTATGGTAATTTGGGCCTTACAGTTGGAGTTAGAGTTGGGTATGTGTTTGGGATAGGATTAGCGTTATCCCAACTTTGGTCAGAATTCAAGGAGACCCAGAGACTGAGACCCCCAAACCTTGTGCCCCTCACAATACTCCAGGCGAGATGAGGTGGTGAGCTGAGTGGAAGTGGGGCTGGGTAAACCCAGGGCAGTTGGGAGTGTGAAGGCCCGAAATCATCCTCCTGTTCTCCAGGGCTCTCACATGCCGTGACTCTTCCCCCATCGCCTCTGAGGCTGGTTGTTCTAAATCCACCTGTACCTGTTGCTGTCTCTGTTACCACACATTCAGCAGCTTAAAACAACACACATTTACCACCTCACAGGTTTCACAGGCCAGGAGCCTGGGTGCAGGTTCTCTGCCCAGGGTCTCACAGTCCAGGTGTCGGCTGGGCTGCCTTTCTTCATGGGCCTCTTCCAAGGTCACACAGTTATTAGCAGCCTTCAGTTCCTGTGGCCCTGGGGCTGAGGTTCCGGTTTTCCAACCGGCAGCCAGCAGCTGCTCTCAGCTCCAGAGGCCACCCATAGTCCCTGCCACTGGCCCTCACCCAGGCCCTCTCAGTGCAGGGCAGGACACATCTTCAAGGCCAGCAGGAGGCTCTCTCTGACCTCAGGGAGGGCCTCAGTCCCTCTTTTAAGAGCTTTCACTTGATTACATCAGGCCCACCCAAGATAATCTCCCTTTTGATAAATCAAAATCAACCAATTTGGGACCTTAATTACATCTGCAAAGCCCCTTCACCTTTGCCGTGTTCTGTTGACTGAAAGCAGGTTACCGATCCTGCCTGCGCCCGGGGGAGAGGATTCTGCAAGAGCATCACTCACTGGGGCACCTTAGGTTGCATCTGCCACCATCCCACCGAGGGTCTTTCTCACATCACTACATCTCCTCCTTCTGCAGAGTTCTGCCACCTCAGTCTCCACGAGTCAGCGAGCCTGCCAATAGTCCAGGGAGTGGCGGCGGGGACCCTTTCTTTCTTCAATTTTGACTCCACAGAGGGCTGTGGACGGTGCACCAGGCATGCTGGGGGTGTGCAGGCCTGAGACCCCCTTCCTTATCGAGGAGGCTAACTCCACATAAATAAGCCACTTTAGATCCTTAGAGGAACCCAGGAAAGGGTCTAAGCAGAGGGGTACTTTGAGCCGGGGCTGGTGGCAGTTTGCAGGCAGCCAGGATGGGGGGTGGGGAGAGGAGAGGACAGCTCCAGCTAAGGGGCGGCTTAAGCAAAGTGGATTTGGGGAACAATGTGGCTGTTGACTGCAGGGCTTTAGGCAGACAGATCAGACTAGCAGGCGGGCAGCTGGGGGAGGGCTGGGAATGGCAGGCTGGGGGCAATGGGGAGCTACATATGCCCGTGGTAGGGGGACATGATAACATCTTGTCATGGATGCCTCCTGAGAATCCCGTTTCCTTCTCTATATTGAGCTCCCACTATGAGCCAGACACTGTGTTTGGGGCTGGGAATGCACTACTGAATCCGCGGAGAGGGGACCTCAGGGATTTTAGAGACGAGTCGGGACAGACAAACCAAGTCATCAATTACATCTGCAGTGCGAACTAGGAGAGGACGGGGTATTGTAAGAGCAAAGAACCAAGCATCTGACCTAGTCTGGCAAGTCCACAGAGGCCCGGATGGGAGGGGGTGTGACGGAAGGAGGCAGCCAAGTCGTGGTGGTGACCGATACATCACATTGCCCCACGAACCACGGCAGAGAAAACAGAAAGGGACAGGGGAGTGCCTCCTGGCCCTCACACAAGAAAATAAGGTCTGGAAACAACCTCCTTGTCCCTAATTCTTATCCTCTTTCAAAATAAAGGCCACCCACACTCCTGTGTCCCCAATTCCAACCTGGCACCTTCCCCCTGATTTCACCCACCATGAAGGAAAAGCCCCAGAATCCCAAACCCCTGCACAGGCTCAGAGGTGTGCGGCCAGCGAGAGGAGCATTGCCATGCATCTGCAGGCTGTGGGTGCTCCCCAGGGCGGGTCATCCCTCTGTGCCCACCTCAGCAGGCCCAGGGGCCCCCGCCCCACTGCCTCAGTGCTCTGCACACCCACCCCAGATGTTCTCACGCCCCATCGCCCCAGACACAGCCCCAGACAGCTGCACAGCTGGCCTCCTGGCTGATGGGACAGTAGGCCTGCCAACAGCCTGGGAAAGGAGGGCAAACAGGGGACACCTCAGACAAACAGATCTGCCGCCCTGAGCCAAAGCATACACGGGGCAGGGGCCTGAGCAAGCAGGCTGGCCAGGGGGTGGGCTTAACCCTTTCTCTTCCAGCATGGCCCCAGGGAGTCCCCTGTGAACTCATCACTGCTGTTCCCCTGCCTCCAGCCTCATGCTCCCCCTTCCTTGCTTCCTGAAGAACAGGTTCATCCATTCTCTCATTTTTACAGACATGAGTAAGACAGGCTTTGCCCCCAAGGTGCCAGGGTCTGGAAGTTCTTCCTGTTGTCTGACCTTGCCCCTACTCTGACTTGGTCACTGTGTCCATCTGCTGTGGCAGCTGCTGACTGCCCCCTTCTGGCCAGTGGCTCCTTCCCTGGGATCTCCAGTTCCCCTCAGCCTCCAGGCAGGCCAACAGGAAATGGGTCTAGGAATAGTAGGAGCAGGAGACATGGCTATTGCAGGGTCTGCAGGGAGCTCAAGCACCTCCATGTCCCAAGGGCGTTGCCTCTGCTCTGGAGGCAGCACAGAGCCATGGGTGCAGCCTGGTCACAGGTCCCCACCCACTAACCAAGCCCAGACAAGTCTCTGAGTCCCTGCTTCCCCATCTGCAGGATGGCAGTGAGCATAGGAGCCCCGCGCAGGCTACTCAGAGGACAAGAGGAGGCCATGCCGGCCACACAAGGCGACTGCTCGGCAGCTGCCTCTGGCTATCTTTATGACAGTAGCAGGTACTGAGCACGCTCTGGGGGCTACAACGTCTGAGCCATCTTGAACTCACACTGTTGTGCGCGAGGCAGACATTGAACCCATAGGCAAATCAGCAAAACATGATAATCCTAGATGTGACAAGTGACAGGAAGGAAACCAAAATGGGGATGAGCAGGAGCCTGGAGGCAGGAAGAGGGGGCAGCCACAGTCAGGGCTGGGGTGTAGATAGCAGCCGTTTGCCCATCTCTCAGGGTCTGGGTCCTGGTATGTGTTGGGAGACAGATTCAAAGGTGAATGGGCGCCAGGCCCTGCCCCAAGACCTCCCAGTCCTGACAGATGCTGAGACACGCGGGGTTGCAGGCACACACAGAAGGGGCCCTTCATCGCCAGGGCAGGCAGAGGGAGAGAGGGGCTCTGGGCTATTGGAGAGAAAGTGAGGCTAGGGTGTGGTAGGGCAGCTCTGTGAGGCCAGAGGTGACAGGCTATGAATGCCAAGCAAGGAGCTGGGGTGTTCTCCTGGGGCACTGGGGACCCACGGGAGGTTTGAGGCCAGGAAGTGATGTCTCAGATGTGGGTTTCCGGAGAGCCACTCTGGCAACTGTGAGAAGCAGGGGCTGCAAGGCTGGCCCTAGGGCATGGTGGGGGCCTGAAGCCCGGCGGCCCAGGAGCCCAGGTAGATGGGGCCAAGTTTGTGTTTAGGAGGAAAATGGATAGTTCCTGGTGACTGACTGCAGCTGCAGAGGGGAAAGAACTGGAGTCTCCCTGGGAGCATGACTGCGACCCGCTCCTCTCTCAATCCAATGTTTCGGTGAGCATCTGTGACAGGCCAGGCTCGTGCCATGCACGAGGGACAGCCATGAACAGGCCAGATGAGGAATCTCACAGAGCTCCCAGTCCGTGAGGGACAAGCGGGTGTTAAACACATTGCAACGGGAGTGATGACTTATGAATTCTTAAAGGAAGGGGCCAGGCCGTCTGCTGTGCACCTTGAGCTCCCTGAGGGCAGGCGCTGTCTCCCGCTCAGTGCCTGAGGTCGCAGCAGTATGCTCTCCGCAGGCTGGAGGCTCCCTCAGAGAGGGTCTGTCTCCTGCCAGGGCTGTGACTGTGCACCAGGTGTCAGGCCCTGCCTGCTCCCCATACCTCCTGAGGGGCCAGAACACAAGGGAACAGGCCATGTCATCCTGAAGCACTCACCAGCCGCTGATCTGAGCCCACAACTCCAGGGCAGCCAGGCCACCTGCTTTCTCTCAGAAGCACCTCTCAGGGATGTGGCCAGAGGACCTCTCCACATAAGGTCCCCACTGGGGCTCCGCCCTTGCTTCCACAGCTGCCCAGTCTCCCCACAGCCTGAGGCCCCTCCGGTGTGGAAGCCAGGGGTGGATGCTGAGTGGGGCTGGGGACTTCACGCTCACTTTCAGAGGGCCCGAGGGCAAGAACGGGAGGGCTGGCTGCAGAAAGTGTCCTTAGCTTCCGTCCTCAGTTCCTGTGGGCCTTTGTTCTACTGGCCTCAGTTTGCCCCAGAGGTGATGGATCTGGGGTGGTCATGGCAGTCCCTCTGGCCCTCAAAGTTGTTAGGGTTTGGTTTTGTTTTCTTTTTGAAATGGAGTGTCGCTCTGTCACCCAGGCTGGAGTGCAATGGTGCAATCTCAGCTCACTGTAACCTCCGCCTCCTGGGTTCGAGCAATTCTCTTGCCTCAACCTCCCAAGAAGCTGGAATTACAGGCATGCACCACCATGCCTGGCTAATTTTCGCATTTT